CTTTTACCATAAAAACAACTTTACCATGGTACTTTTTAGTTAGTGTCCATACCTTTTACCAAACAACTTTACCATGGTACTTTTTATTAGTTAGTGTCCATAGTTTTACCATAAATATACCTTTACCATGGTACTTTTTAGTTAGTGTCCATACCTTTACCATAAAAACAACTTTACCATGGTACTTTTTATTAGTTAGTGTCCATAGTTTTACCATAAATATACCTTTACCATGGTACTTTTTAGTTAGCTTTACCATATTTACCATAAAAACAACTTTACCATGGTACTTTTTATTAGTTAGTGTCCATAGCTTTACCCCTTTACCATCTTTACCATGGTACTTTTTAGTTTGTACCTATACCTTTTACCACAAAACAACTACCATGGTACTTTTTTAGTGTCCATACCTTTTACCATAAAAACAACTTTACCATGGTACTTTTTATTAGTTAGTGTCCATACCTTTTACCAAACAACTTTACCATGGTACTTTTTATTAGTTAGCGTCCATAGTTTACCATAAATATACCTTTACCATGGTACTTTTTAGTTTGTACCTATACCTTTTACCACAAAACAACTACCATGGTACTTTTTAGTTAGTGTTCATACCTTTACCATAAAAACAACTTTACCATGGTACTTTTTATTAGTTATCGTCCATAGGTTTACCATATATATATAATTACCATGGACATTTTTAGTTTGTACCTATACCTTTTACCATAAAAACAACTACCATGGTACTTTTTAGTTAGTTGTCCATACCTTTTACCAAACAACTTTACCATGGTACTTTTTAGTTTGTACCTATACCTTTTACCACAAAACAACTACCATGGTACTTTTTTAGTGTCCATACCTTTTACCATAAAAACAACTTTACCATGGTACTTTTTATTAGTTAGCGTCCAAAGCTTTACCATAAATATACGTTTCCCATGATAGTTTTTGGCTCGTGTGCGTGTGGAGCAGCGTTTACCCTCGGTGTGCAGACTCCCGCAGCCGCAGGACAGTGTGGGCAGAGCCCGTGTCGCTGTGAGCAGCCTCGGCCTAGAGCCGGACGCCGCTCCGCCGGCCCGAATCAGTTTTCTAAAGTGTTTTTGAAAAATCACATACCCTGCCTTTAATATGCATATAAAATATAAGGAGATATTTGTTTCAATTTTATTTTGTGTTTGACTGTTAAAACTTTTTTACTTCAATTTACTAAAATCTTTAGTAAATTGGGTAAATTAAAAATACAGTGGTTAAATTTAAACCCTTTTTCTACTGCTCATTGTTTAAGAAAGGTTATAAAAAAAAGTCAATAATTATCGATACCGAACGATATGAAACATTATATCGTGATAATTTTTTTAACTATATCGCCCAGCCCTGCTTTTACCATAAAAACAACTTTACCATGGTACTTTTTAGTTAGTGTCCATACCTTTTACCAAACAACTTTACCATGGTACTTTTTATTAGTTAGCGTCCATACCTTTACCATAAATATACCTTTACCATGGTACTTTTTAGTTAGTGTCCATACCTTTTACCACAAAACAACTACCATGGTACTTTTTTAGTGTCCATACCTTTTACCATAAAAACAACTTTACCATGGTACTTTTTATTAGTTAGCGTCCATAGTTTACCATAAATATACCTTTACCATGGTACTTTTTAGTTAGTGTCCATACCTTTACCATAAAAACAACTTTACCATGGTACTTTTTAGTTAGTGTCCATACCTTTACCATAAAAACAACTTTACCATGGTACTTTTTAGTTAGTGTCCATACCTTTACCATAAAAACAACTTTACCATGGTACTTTTTATTAGTTAGTGTCCATAGCTTTACCATAAATATGCCTTTACCATGGTACTTTTTAGTTTGTACCTATACCTTTTACCACAAAACAACTACCATGGTACTTTTTTAGTGTCCATACCTTTTACCATAAAAACAACTTTACCATGGTACTTTTTATTAGTTAGTGTCCATAGTTTTACCATAAATATACCTTTACCATGGTACTTTTTAGTTTGTACCTATACCTTTTACCACAAAACAACTACCATGGTACTTTTTTAGTGTCCATACCTTTTACCATAAAAACAACTTTACCATGGTACTTTTTATTAGTTAGTGTCCATAGCTTTACCATAAATATGCCTTTACCATGGTACTTTTTAGTTAGTGTCCATACCTTTTACCATAAAAACAACTTTACCATGGTACTTTTTATTAGTTAGCGTCCATAGCTTTACCATAAATATACGTTTCCCGTGGTAGTTTTTGGCTCGTGTGCGTGTGGAGCAGCGTTTACCCTCGGTGTGCAGACTCCCGCAGCCGCAGGACAGTGTGGGCAGAGCCCGTGTCGCTGTGAGAAGCCTCGGCCTGGAGCCGGACGCCGCTCCGCTGCTGCTGAGGCTCCAGAGGGACCTGCTGAAGGTTCTGCTGCGGGGTGGCGCGGGTCTGACGGCGGGAGCGGAGCTGCTGATGGACAGCCGGGCTGCGAGCTGAACCGCGCGGCTCACAGACTTCAGCATGACGGCGATCGTGTTCGGTTGAGCTCAGAGCTGCTGAACGCGGATCACACTGACTGACACACGTGGGGAAGGACACCGTGACCTCAGCACTCTACACCGGAAGCGTTCGGAAGCGGAAATGAGATAAAAGTCCTGCACGCTGTCAACAACATAAACACGTGGCTTCAGTAACTTCAAGCTGATTACAAATCGTTTTATTCTGTTTGTTTGCTTGTTGATCTTCTAGATCCGTTATGCAGCTTTGTGGAGTTTGTAGCGAACATGTTCCTAAATACAGATGTCCAGCCTGCAGAATCAGATAGTAAGTCATTCATTCATGTTCGATAACTGCCAGTTTATACCATAAATAGGTTTATCAGCTCACTTTTGCTTTTGGGACAAATCCTGATCAAATAAATAGCACCTTCCTTTCCCTTCTAGTTGTTCAGTGAGTTGCTTTAAAAGACACAAAGATGATGGTAAGTCTCTACTAAAGCTAATATTCTATTGACAGTTATTTTGATTACATTTACATTTATGCTTTTATCCAAAGCGGCATACATTGCTTTCAATATTTATACTGAATCAGTTCATGCATTTCCTGGGAATCAAACCCATTAAGTTTTCTACTTAAAAGTTGCATCATCATCATTATTATTATTGTTATTATTATTAATTTAATATTTTTATTGGTTGCATTATTTAATGTATTATTATTATTATTGTATTAATGTAATTATTATTGGTATAACTTTATAATTCTTATTCTTATTATATTACTATTATTACTAACTTATATAATTTGTTTTAATACAATTATTTATAGTATGTATTATTATTATTTTTAATTATAATTATTTTTACTGATTACATTATATTTTATTATTATTATTTACTGATATTAATTTATTTGTTTATTGTATTTATATTTAATTAAATAGTATTATACTAATTATTATTGGTATTCATTCAATTCTATTTTATTATTACTAATATAAATATCATTATTATTTGTATTATTATAACTGTTATTAGTAGTAGTAGTAATACAATTGTTGTTATTGTTACTATTATTTGTTATTTTGTACCTTAAACTACCAGACTGCCCTGAGCACAAAGTCAAAAATCAGTCCAAACCAAACTCTTGAAGTCATTATTTCTCTTTCCTCTGATAGATTCATGTCATCCAGTTAAAGAATCAGATTCAGCCTCCAGCAGCTCAACAGCAGTGAGCAGCGGTGAGTAAATTATCATCAATAATAGATGCTTTATGGGCGATCAAGAGAACTTTTCTGCCTGCTTTTGATGATGATTTTGAACAAAAAAGTTCTATAAAGTTCAATAAATGTGTGTGATTTCAGCTGCACAGCCGTGGACTGTCGAGGATGTTCTTGATGAAGACAGTCACACTGACAAAGTGCCATTACAGAAACTTCAGCAGCTCGGTATGAAATGATAAACACCCTGTTCACATGATCTTTAATGCTGTTTTTATGAGATCAGTTGCAGATGGTTTTCATTCACACAGCTGATTCAGAGGCGTTGAAGGGTCTGTTGAGGAATCCTCATCTCCGCCGGTTAATGATGTCCGTGGACTCGGCTGAAGATAAAGCCAAAGCCACGAAAGACGCCATGCAGGAGCCGCTGTTCGTGGAGTTCGCTGATCAGTGCTTAAAAATTATTGAACCGACAGAAGCAGAGCATGACAATGATGAATTCTGATTGGATCGAACTGTCACATAAGTTTTCACACAAATGTTAATGCAATCATGTAAAATGTTGTACTAAACCAAGGTCTTTTGAATGCCAACAATGTCTTAAAGGAATAGCTCACCCCAAAATGTTCAGAAATTTGTCATTGCATCACTTGTTCACCAATGGATGCTCTGCAGTGAATGGGTGCCGTCAGAATGAGAGTCCAGTGAAAAAGTGGTCTGGTCTGAATCAGGAGTGAAATCTGCACAGATCAAGCACTGTTTACAAGCGAAAAGTCCAAAACAGTTTGATGTGAGAGACAACAGGAGATGAACATTTTCACTGAAGGCAGCGTTATTATGGATTATGGACTCATATTTTAGCCGGAAGCAACGGTTTGAAGTTAAAAACATCTTAATGATGCATTTGTTTCTTACAAACATGCAGCCTTTGGCTTTTCAAGACATTAACTGATGGACTGGAGTGGTGTGGATTACTTGTGGATTATTGTTTTGTTTTTATCAGCTGTTTGGACTCTCATTCTGACGGCACCCATTCACTGCAGAGGATCCATTGCTGGGAAGCTACATTTCTCCAAATCTGTTCTGACAAAGAAACAAACTCATCTACATCTTGGATGGCCTGAGGGTGAGTACATTTTTCATTTTGGGGTGAACTATTCCTTTAAGAGACTATCTGCGGCGTAATTCCAGCATTTGCACAACTTGTTCTTCAGAGGTTTAAACAACATATACTAAGAAACATGTTTTGTCATTGATGGACCTTGCGGAGGCTTTTAGACTTTAGAGAATTTAGACTTCTATCTGACAAATAAACCTGTACGATAAAATAGCTGTCAAGCTTCGTAGCATTTAGTATTCTGAAAAATTGTTGTTGAATATTCATGTTTTCTCAACATTACTGAGCTTTTGTGTCTCAATACAGCAGTCAGTAATTAATTACATGCATTTTATAATGAATTTTCCAGACTACAGATCGAGTAAAAAGAAATCAAAAACAGAACAAGTCTGAAATTATCTTTATTGGCATTATCGAAGTCTGATTGGTTTGTTAAAGAAGTACTATGTGTTGTACTAGAAAACCTGTTTTCTAGTCACGTTTTGCCGATTAACGCCCTGAGAGTATAAATATACAGAGATATAGATTATTTTTGGTCATAAATACAGTTTGCACATGCAATTCAGTGTTTCATAACCAAAAACTCCTGATTTACGGAGGAATGTTGTGTTGTGCTTTTGAGCAGTTGGTGTTTAAAAATACATTTCGGTCTAAAACAGCAAAAAGTATTCTGAAAAAATGAAGAACTAGAGATACATATGCAAACAGTATTTTAATTCAGTTTGCTTTGGTAAGTAAGCAATGCAGAAACCATGGCTTTTCCCAGTATTTACCATGTAGTGTTTCATGTCTTACATTGTGCAATGAATAAAATTTAAAAAAGATGACAAGAAAAGTGTACAAAACTTGTACTAATATAGTCTTTATGAATACTATACTCTCCAGTATCTCCCTCAATTATCATTATAACTTACTAATATCATTATAGCATCACAATGTTTTAAAGCCTGTTATATTTTATCAATTTGTACACTGATATTAATGGAAATCAAATGCAAGGTTTTGGAAATACACGATTTGGTATATTTAGCAGCATATTATGAATAAATTCAGACCAAAAACTAAAATCTTATCTACAAATATCATTTTCAAGCTGTGCAAGAAACACGATTTTAATCATGACAGATCATGCTAGAATAAAATGGAAGCTTTGTTGTATAAAGTAATAGTTTTTAAAAACTCTACAGTATTTACTGATTGAACGCACAGCAGAATTAAAGGCACTTGTGCTTCACGCTGAAACCTGAGAAAGTAAATACAACTAAACACTGAATTGCACTAACAATAAGGCAGCTAAATGTTTAATATCACTTAATGTAGTGTATTTCAAAGGTGCACTGATTGCATGAAAGCTTTTAACAGCATGAGATCTCAGGGCCTCTCCAGCAGGATCTGGTTGAATCCGGTCACCACGTCTGTCTTGTGCACTGGGTGCATGTCAGCGTACAGCAGCGGAGATCTCTGAAGATGCACCTTAATGGAGCCCTGTCAAAAACATAGAGTTACATAGCAGTTAAAGCAATATTTAAAAATATACAATAATCTCACATCAAAATGTGTCAGGGTTATTATCGTTAACTAAAACCTTTTTGTTAATGTTTATTTGACACATTATTACAAACTTTTTGTACTTTATTTTTATTTTGTATTTTATTATATCTTTATTTTGTACTGTACTGCCTTGGAAACTAGCTGAAATAAAATGTTTAACTTGAAGTACTAAAATAAAGTAAACAAACTAAAATTAATAAATAAAAATTTATAAAAAATTTACAGATATATTTAAAAACTAAAAACTAATAAAAATGACAAAAACATAAAAGACAATGACTAAAACTTTAACCAAAATTAAACTGAAAACATAAAAGTTAAAATTAAAAAAAAATCTAATTCAAAATATTAACAAAAACTATAGAGTATATCAACACTAAAATAACACAGCTCTGACTAAAATTGATTTACAAAGTGTTATTGTCAACTAAAACTAATATATATTTTTAAACTATTCATAAAGTAATAAAGATAAAAAATAAAGATAAAATAAAAAAATCTAATGAAAATGACAAAAATGACAAAAGCGCATTACAAAATTACCAAAAATAAAATTAAATACAATAGTATATAAATATTACTGTTTACAAAATTTCATAATACATGTCCCTTGCACTTATTCACCAAGAAAAAAAATCCACATTAAAATGTAACAACTTGATCTACCTCAGAGTAAAGATCTATTTAAAATATTTTAAGTAATAAAGCTCAAATAAAATATAAATATTAGATGAACAACAAACTTAAAACTAAGAAATGTTACCTTGGCAACTAACTGAAATTAATAAGTTTAAATTGAAGAACTAAAAGCGCATAACAAAATGATTTAAACTTGAAAACTCAAATTAAAATGAAAACTTGAAATAGAAAAATAAAACCCAATTCAAAATATTAATAAATACAATAGTATATAAATAATACTAAAATAATTGACAGCATGTCATAGACATGAGTGTAAGCTGTATTCATCCTGGAATCATTCAAGGTCACACAGAACTAAACAAAGCGCAGTTAACCCGTATGTTTGAAGCGTCTCTTACCCGTGGCTGAGCTCTGATAGACGCCACACCCTGGTCAAACTGGTTGGTCTTTACTTTGTATTCACCGTTTCTGAATGGGATCTTCAGACAGGCCATCATAGACATGATCCGCTGGAAACCCGTGGCTGTCAGAGAGACAGTGATGCTGGGAGCAGAGGCCATGGCCAGACCGATGGGCCAACCTCTGACCATCACAGGCTCCTGGATGCTGGAGAGCTGCACAGAGCCTCTCTCCTTCAGCAGACGGTCCAGCTTCGGCAACACGGATGATGCTTCATTCTCTATGAAATCCTCAGCATCATCCAGCTCTGCCTCAGCTAATGCATCCATCCACACCTATCGAGGAGGAATGCAGAAAGATAAGAACACGGCACAAAACACACATAACTGAAGCTAAATCTACACTTAAAGTCAGCATGAAACTGCGTTCAGAACATAGACTGTATTAAAAACATGGACATAGTGTCCGTGACGTCATCCGTAGGTTTCCGAAGAGCGTTTTTGAAGCCTAAAGTAGGTGGAGCCGGCAGTCGCCATCTTGGCAATGCGTCACTCCCGGATAATCGAAAATGGGCAAAGAGGCGGGAGCTGGTTGTTGAAACCACGCCCACCTAGCTCGACGGTGGTGACAGCAGCGGCAATCCACCTGTCACTCAAGTGGCCACGCCCTTATTTATGCGGAACTTTAAGGCTTAATATAATTTAAACGGATGAGTTATAAAAAAATTCACCCCCCTCACAGTTGTCATGAAGGGCAAAATTAGCTATATAGACCAAAACCACTTTTTGTACCAGACTGTAAACA